TCATCATCATCATCATCATCATCATCATCATCATCATCATCATCATCTTTCTCATTAATCATAATCGACAATCTATGTCACGCCCCAGTGGATGGACATGGGGGTCTCAAACGAGGTTCAGATTGAGAATCCACAGTCTGAGACAGGGGGTTGAGCTTGGAGAAGCCTTTTGAGGATCCATAGTCTACTGGAGATACCGAGATACCCATGAATTTGCTTGTCCCGTCATGATGGTACCAATACCACGTTTTAAGACAAGTGTTCTACGTATACAAAACCAATTGCATCAAAGCAAAACGTTGCCTAAACATAAATAGTAGGTGTCGTTCTCTTTCATCAAATCCACGCTCCCAACGACCATGGCCTCCGCCAAGGGCGCAGGGAAAATGGTCCACATGCCGTGCCACACATCCGCCGCGAAGATCAAGGGGATGCCCAGGCGGCTTTCTTCCACTGCCACACGTTGGAGCTCTCGGTTAATCCTTGGTTGGGGTTCCCCACCGCGACCGACTCCCGACATCTCCGACACTGAAGTCATGTTGGGGCAGAGTTGGGTTTTCATTGAAAGCGCCTAGAAATTTGGAGTAGCCGAGTCATGCAGGGGAGTAGCCGAAAAAACATGTGACATGCGATGTTGCGGTGGATAAAAATCTCGACCATGGTTGAGAAGCATGCATTTGTTTGTTGAGATCATCCTCCGCTTGGAAAGAGAACTCCCGAAACCGTGTGACAATCATTATCAAGAAACACACACCATACTTAACTGATGGTAGTAAAAGTATGAATCATATCATGTGATAATCCTAATGTTTAACCAGATTGAACACTCCAAATAGCAACCAGCAGTGCTGCCACTTTATGACGTGACAATCCCTCCATATCCAAATGTTCATTGTTTTCATTCATGCTTCACGGTTCTGTCTTTGAAGGTACATGATTAGTGTTCAATGATCGTTGTAACTGTGAAACGCGGGCAATGCATCAGTCTCATATCTCAATTGTGGTGGTTTGAAAATCACAAATTGATTTATTGCGATAAATAGCTATATATATAATAGAAAAATCAAAACAAGTTTCTCTTCCACCAACGGGAAGGTCAAGGTCATTCCCACAAATTGGTGCATGATGCAAAATGGAAGCCCAATATTTTTAAAACATAAAACGAACTGCCTGTGGCCGCGGCTTAAATGTTGTCAGAGGAGCGGGTCCAAGTCCAAGTGAATCTGGGGCACTGGGGGGATCTTTTTTATATAAAGCTTGAAATGTGTACTTCTGACTTTCAAGTGCAAATGTCTTGCTTTAATAGGTTTGCTTACCAGGTCCATGCGTGTGAATGGTCCACTGGCCACGCCAGCCCCACAGTGCACTTGCACATAATCAAACAGGGAAGCAAGGGTGTATTTGCGATCGAAAACCATTGGTTGCGTTGTTCCTCAGTACTCCCCCTGTTGAAGTACGTCTAAGCAAATCTTCTCGTTGCACCTTCCGTTTTATTGCAAAGCTGCCAAAAGGGCTGTGAGTGCCAAGGATCTCAACGCCCTGGCCGTTGAACAGGGCACCCAGCTTCCCGCCCTTGATCCTTACTCAGACATCATGACCTGGTCATCCAAGAACTGGTGTGGTTGCCTTCCAAAGAAATACAAACACCTTTGACTTTGACTTCTATGGTTGAAGGATGTTGAAGGGTACTTCCCATCCAGTGCCACTCACGAAGTCAGGCGCCATGAAGGGCCTAAACTCAAAAGTTTGGGTTCGGGAACTCCCCATAGCTCCCAGATTCACCTCACCACCAGATCCTTGCTACTAGTAACAAGGACGCTACTAGGGGCTCCTGGCCTTACTACTCGGAACAAGAAGCTATTAGGAACAAAGGGCATCGCTACTAGGCCTTACTACTAGGAACAAGAACGCAAGTGCAGCGTCCAGCAAGTAAACGTTCAAAAGTGTTGCTTTCAGAAACAGCCTCCGCTGGAGTGTCTCCTGCCATTGAGCGCTCTCGCCATTGAAATCATCGCCCCAGGGTCGGCTCAGGAGCTCCAGTTGGCCGACCTTCTCGTCCAAGGTCATCTGTTGCATGAGCTCCTGCGGCGCACTTCGCTTGCGCCGAAGCGCCGCAAGCGCCCGGATCGACAGGGGCGGTCCGTCTGCCAAGCCATGGGGAAGGAGGAGGAAGGAAAACCTGGGCCCCATGGTGGAAGCCCAAAATGGTCCATGTCGCATGCTCAGATGGATGTCCAATATAAGAGAGATGTAAACAAGGTATTTCAATCCAATAGCGGGGTGAACGGAGAACGCCTTGTTGCAGGTGCGAAAGGACGTCCTTCAGCACAAAAAATGTCATGAAGAAAGTTCTGACTTCAAGAAACCTTGGAGGACAAGAGGCAAAACCTCTGCAGGCCCGCTTCCAGAAAACTAAGCGGGTCACCAAATAAACCCGTCATCAGGGAAGTCACTACTTCCCTAAGAGCTCCGGCTAATTGCCCCCCTTGTCCCCTGCATCTTTTCGAAACCAACTTTGCCTTGATCTTCTCATCCTCAAGCAAGCTCGTCCCCAGGACCAACGTTGCAAGCGTTAGCGCTTCGAAGCCTCTGCGCAGCATGGCGGTCGACACCTTCTCCACGGGCTCGAGCCAGCTGCCAGGCCACCGAACGCGCGTGGTCGATGGACCCAGGGCCGCAAACAACATCGAACAATCAAACAACCCATGCTATCGCATTTCCTCTCTTCGCATGCTATTCAGGACACTGTTTCGGCCCAAAATAAAAGAACAACATGAGGCTTCCAAAGAAATGGTTGTGGTTGAAACTGCCTGCAAACTCCAAGGAATGAGAATTTAGAGGCTGCTTCCGCATGGCCACAAAACAAAAGTCATTGGTCCGAGATGATTCAGGGACGCCCCAAACGCCCAAGCTCGAAGGCAAAAAGGAATACGGAATCAAAAACAGACCTTCCCCTCTCTCCTTTTCGGACCACCTTCTCCAGGAAGAAAGTAGTGCGGGAGAATCGTATGACAACGGTCATCTACCCTCCCGAAAACTAGCATGGAGCCCGTGTGGTTTTGGCGCCCCTGGAAGATGGTTTCCTCTCCCATCCTGTGGTTTTCAGGGTGGTGAGTCTTCCAGGAGGGGTTACCTTGTTCCCTATGACTTGGGCTGATCTTTGACTCCGAGACCCGGACCACCGGTAAAGTGCAGAGAGGGGGGCTTACGCATGACCGTTTTGTGTCTTGCTACGCTCGACCAAACTAGGTGTGTTAACCTCGACCCCGCTGGGTTCTGGAACCTTGACCCTAGTGGGTTCTAGAGGCTCGGCTCCAATGGGTTCTGGAGGCTCGGAACCCTCCCACCCAGGCTCGTGCTCTTTTCTTCGCGAACTCAGCTTTTTCCATGCGTTCCATGCCTTGGACCACTTTGCTTTTTCCAAAGGCAGCTGAGAATGCTTCGGGCACTTCTTTCCGCCAGTCCGTGTGTAGACGGCCAATGGGAGGCAGATTTCTCCGACGGAGTTCTTTGCTCAATTCAGCAAATGCCTTGACATACACACCCTTGTCTTCCCGAGGGTGACAAATGATACAGAGTGGAAACACGCTGCGCCTCCATCGGCCATTCAATTTTCTGTGCAGCTGACAGGATATCATTCCCCAGGAGTACTTCCCATACTCCACATGGAAGGGAAAATCTGAACAGCACACCAGCTGCTTGGGACGAAGAGCCTGGAGGCAGTCCAAGAATGGTTTGCGTCAAGCAAACCGACACAAAGCAGAGAGTAGCTGCCAGAGTGCGTCGACTTTGAATGAAATCTGCAAAGCTCTCTCCCAGCCTCATTCGCTGCCTCCTTCCTGCAGCAGGCACATCACGTTGGCGGGCTCGGATTCGTCGTAGGAGGTATTTCAGTTGGTTTCGGCTACTTGTCCAACGATCTCCCAACTCTCTCCGAACGACATTTGGTGTAGGGAAAAGACCCGTCCTCTGGACCAAGTCAGCAACGCAAGCTTTTGCTGCTTGCACCTCTACCACCGAGATGCCCCCACGAGAAGCTCTCCGAGCTTCTCTTCTGTCAGCAGTACACTGCCTTGAGACCCGAATCTTGAGACCATACTCTGCGCCGCGCAAGCCACCTCGAAATTCGAAATGACGACCATTTCCTCTGGAGCAGCCTAAGCATTTTGAGCATCTGGCCACCATCCGAAAAACGCCTTGTTGAGGCCTCGGTGTGGTCCTGTGAGACAGCTTCAAATCAGCTGTCTCCTCATATTGCCTCACCACATCCCTAAGAAAGTGCCTGTCAGGTCTTCCACCTGCAGGAGCTGCGAAGATCTTGTCTTCAAAGTCTTCCCACTGATGGGATCGGTGCGGCATCTGGTCTATCTGCAGCCCTTGAAGATAAAAGTGCAAGAAAAAGTGCAAGGAAATGGAACATGTTCAGAAGTTCTTAAGTCTGAAGCAGATGTCAAAAGACCAAATTCAACTTTGGTCTATATCACACTCTCAGCAGCACTGCGTCATGCGGAGTATTTCTAAGAACATGAAAGGGAACGTGGTTTTTCAATGTCTCAACTTGAAATCTCTCCAAAAACTGCGTCCTTTTAATGGCAGAATCTGATCCCACAAACCCGGCCTCGATGTAGAGGCTGTGGACCAAGAAGGGCTTCTTCTTTGCTATTGAGAAAGGGAAGCGGACACAAGGCATGCAGGTCAAGCTGGGATAAGAGTACCCATCCTAGTCGTGGTGAAAGAACCCATTCTAGTCGTGGTGAAAGGACCCATCCTAGTCGGGACAAAACCCAATGAAGTCGCTTCAAAACCCAGAGAGGTTATGGTTAAACCCCTCCCTAGTAAAGTGCACAGCCTCTTGAGGTTAAAGCACACGACGGATGCCCAGTTCAAAACTCACAATATCCACAGGCAACCTCCTCCTTTCGTCCATCCCTGTCACTATAGAAGTGGCCTGTGACGCTGCAGGAATGGCTTGCCTGGGCCAGGCTGTTCAAAGACGTGAATTCAATATGCTTCAATGTCCTTGCCACACACGTGCTTATCTTCCGTCGCAACGCTCGAAGAAAATCGGCCCGTGATCCCTTCCAAATAGGTCGGGTAAGACTGTTTCTGTCTACTTCCAGAAGATCGAGTCGTACCAAGCAAAACAGGGCGGAGCATGTTCGCATGTTCAGTGCAAAGACATGGAACATAGCTAGCACTGGGCTACACTGCTAGAACATGTATTGGTTGTGGGGTAAAATCCTACAGGCCCCAAAATGGGTGAACATGACGAAGTCTAGAGTCTAGATCACCCTGTGTGCTTTCACCGACACGACAAATTACAGAGATTGCCCACCAGCAAAACTCAACACATTGTCAGGCTGTTTCTCTCTCGTTCTGATGCTCTTTCTCACGCTCAGGCAGTCGTCTGCCCGGCTGTCGAACGAACATGCGCTGCCGAACGGTTCCACTTTCTGGAGTTGAGCAGCTTCCGGTTCCACTGCGACCGGTGCTTCCTTTCTACGCGATTCTTTAGCGACCGGTGAAACAGGTGATGATAAGCTACATCGCATCAGAGCTCGTGTTGAACCACGTGGGGTTCCTCCAACATGGATGAGATGGACTTCATCATGTCCATGAGCTTCTTCTGCAAAGCTTCTTCTCTCGCGGACCGATGATTGACCTTTCTCAACAACTCCACGAATCTCTGGTCGAAGCCACGAAGAGTCGCTGCCGGGCGAATCGACTCCTCGACCGACTCGGACGCGTCACGCTCTTCCGTGACGCGCGGGAGCGGCAGAAGAGCGCCGTTCTCGGCGGCGTTGATGTTCTCGGAGAGCTCCGTGGCGAGTTGCTCGGCGTTGGACAGCAGCGTCTCCAGCTGGTTCTGCATGCCCTGCAAAGGAAAGCAGCACCCGAGCACACAAGCGGCAGAGAAGCTGTGTTTGGCCCCCAAGAGTCTTACCTTTTTCATGAAATCACATAACATCTGTGTCAACACAGGAAGGGCAAATCCGACAGGCACAAAAGGCGCACTCAGTTCAGGCACCACATACTACCGGCACTGAGGAAGATTCAGGAAGCCTACATACAGTTCTGGCGCACTTAACCTTCAACCGAATCCATCTGAAGCAAGGCCGGGAACCTCTCGCTGACACCAGCATCGTCAGGTTCCAAACAAAACCGGCATTGTCAACATAATGAAGACTCGCGAGCCAATGATCCGTAGCTCTCAATGGCCACAAGCATGGTTCCAACGTGCTGCCAGACGTTGGCACAATCATTGCGATTTCTTTGGCACAATCATCTCGATGGTTCCAAGTGTACGCCTAAACAGTAAGTGTACGTTCAATTCATTGAGCCCCTTTCTCCCAACGACCCCCTTTCTCGTTTTCCATACGACCCCTGGGGTGCCCAGTGTTTACATGCTTCCCTGAGGTGAGATACATGGAGTATCTGAGCAATCCGGATTGCTGAAAAAAGCTCCTTGATGTTGGGTGTCCATGCAGTATCCTCGCGCCTAAAGGCCACTAAAGGCCACCCATAACCCCGGCACATCGAACCAAGTCAAGGTCTCACGGATCTGCTCATTCGGTCCCATGGGGTGCGTCCCACCCGGTCCTGAAACGTTTTGCTGACGGCCGACATGGACTCCGAAATCGTTTCGACTTGCTCGTGGAAGTTGTCTTTCGACCCAGGCCGCATGTGGTACGAGGAGATGGAAGATGAAGCTTGCCTGACCACAGCGGAAGCATCAAGCAAATCATCAAACAAATTCTGCACCTTTAGAGGAATAACTTTGGAAAAGACCAGTAAAATGGTGCCGAATTTGCATGATAATGTTGGAAAGGGGTTGGACGTTCTTTGCGAATGAACTTGATGTTTGGGATTTTTTTGCATCGGTGATCCGGTTGTGCCTGCGGTTCTCCAACTGCCCTCTAGTTTAGTAGTTCGGTCCCGTGACTTTGGATGCAGTATCTTTGTGGTATGTTTGTTTCTACTGGGAGGGTGATACCGTTCTTGTATACCCCCGAATCCCGGAGAAAAACAGTATACAAAAGTCACTTCGAGTGATCCCCACACTGCCAGGTGATTTGGAAGAAGGAAGGTATGCATTGACAGGCTATCCTGACAAGTGACCTATCATACTCCCTGACATATGGGCTGGCACTAGAGTTCCCCTCACAAGTGTGTTTTGACATATGTTCTTGCATTTGCTCTGACATGTATTCTTCCATTCGTTTCTGGTGTAAGTCTGGAAAATGCTGTGACATGTGTTTTTATATCTTCTCACCTGTGTCCAGGCAATGTTCTGGCAGTTATTGTAAAATGTGTTCTGAAGTTTCATCTGACATATGTTCTGACAGTTGTTTTGCCTTGTTTTCGGTATTCTGACATCTATTCTGCAAAAGTCTGGCATATGCTCTGACACTTGCTCTGACGTGTTTTGTGACATCGGTTCTGCCTTTTGTTCTGGCATCACCGTGTTCTGGATGTAAGATCAGGTCTGGCATCTGTTCTGAACATGCGCCGTGGCATCTGTTCTGACATGTATTCTGACACATGTGGCGGCATAGTCTCGCACAATGATCGTGTTTTGCCCATTCTCTGACAAAAGGTCCTGACATGTTCTGACATCTATTCTTGCATGTGATGCACCACTCCAGGGCTTCTCGGCATATCCCGGCCCCGGGTCGACCCGCGAACTTGACGCGATACTATTTATGCGATACTACAAATGAGTATGGCATCAAAAAGGCGGAATCTAGAGACCCTACCACCGAAGAAGAACGCTTCCGCTTGTGTCCGGAAGAACGCTTGCCCTTGGCGCTGCCGACAAGACCAGACATCTCCTATTAGGATCGGCCCTTAGGCTGAAGAAGGTCCGGAACGGTCCTGTGAGGGTGTTTGTACACTGTTCCGTGCGTGACCTGTCTTCCCAAGAACCTATCCCACATGGTACACGTAGATTGTGGGTGGGTCCCCCCCATGGGTCAAACTGTGACGGTCTAAACCGCACAGCAAGAGAGTGGTTTCCCCGTTGTTACATGGTGGGCGAGTTGCTCAGCAAGAGACGCTCGAATGTACTCTCGACCTCCACTCTCTCGCTGTCTTCGAGGTCTTAGACTTTGTCGCCTCCTGGCTTGGCCAGAACAGAGCGGGCACACGACGGACGATATGTGGACTATATGTGAGATGACAATCCGTGTTCTCTTGCCTTCGGGTTCAGGGTGGTTTCTTATCAAACATGTAGCAAACAAAAGCAGCTCCCAAAATCAGAAAGGCGTCGAAGCCATCGAACATGGAAATCACGGGATCAGCCGGCAAAGACATTTAGTTCAAAAGAGACATTGACCCGGTGTGGAGGATTTTTGGGAGTGCATGCTTCAAGCACTTCAAGCACTTCAAGCATTCAAAATCCGCTGATGTTTTTTCATCATGAAATCGTAAAACATATCCAAAAGAAACATGCCCTTGTATTTCTTTGTCTGGGGAGTGCTGCTCTGGGCTATCTACTCTAGAAGTTTGACACGATTGAATTTATTTATGGATAACTTCTGTTTTCGTTCAAGTTCTCCCTGTCTCCTGCTCTCAGGGGATATCCGAGCCAACGACTTCTGTTTGAGCTCATTGGCTGTGGCTTCACATCCAGGAAGCTTGCACAAGAGGTCAAATTGATCTCGGATCATGTCCGTCTGCTCACGAAGAACTCTCATCACTTCCCCTTCGATCCTCGGCGGGCCGTGTCTGGCAGAGACCAAGGGCGAGGAGAACCTCTCTGTCTCCGTCCATTGGCAGGCTTGCTGATCTCGCAGCCAAAAGGAGAAGGGAATACGTCAGAAAAGCAAGGAGACACCAAACCCATAGGCCCATGGATGTTCTTTTGAGTGTGTCTTCCCTTCTACCTAGATTCATTGGGTTGGCCATATGATTTGACTGCTTTGCTTACCCGGACGTGCCCATGTGAAACATGTAAAAAGTCACTATAGGAAATGTGTCGTCAATATTCATTGCAGGGTGCAAGTCGTATTATTGTTTATTGTCCAACATGTCAAAGATTGCAGTTTAAGCATGTCTGTCAAGTCTTAGCCAATAATTAGCTGCTATAGCTGGGTGCGGAAAAGATTCAGTGTCCTCACTTCCATCACTGCGTATTTGGTCAGGATTGAGAGCATGAGTGGATCTTGCTTCTTGCAGCTACCCAAATGGTGGCAGAATTCCACATAATCCAGCTCACCAGATGCATCCACGTCCAGTCCTCGAAAGATCGTCTGCATGTCATCTCTGTCGATGTTCATTCGCTTCATCACCTCATGAATCCTTGCAGACCGAGGTCATGAGGTGACTCTGCAAAAAGGAAACCACACACTCGGGGATTAACGCATACGTACTGAGGCCGCCAGAGCTGAGAAGAAACCTTGGTTTAAAAAGGGGGCCTGAGTATATAAACCAGGTTTCAGGAAATCAGCCATGGTAAGCGTCTCTCCGTCTGACACTCAACTGTTAGTTCAGTCTGCAGGCGTACTGTCTACAGAGCAAGAGTTTGAAAGTCGGCAGGTCAAATCCAATATTCACGGAGTTCTTTCAGACAGGAATTCAAGGAACTCTTCCAGAAAAAGAATTGCATAAGCACTGGGACATGTAACATGCACAAGAGCGAAGCTTCACAAGTGAATCGCCGTTACAATTAAATTACAACTAGATTCAGAAAAACATGCTTAAAATTGCAGGTACGTTTACAGCTCTCACGGCCATCCACCAATGGTGAGAGGGATGGCACCCTGCTCAAATACTAAAAACCCAAAGGTTCCCTTTGACTCAAAGGGTTTCACACACACACACACAACAAAATCCTTTGGATGATCCACCCAGACTTCCCGGTGACCAAATTCGTCTCTTCGTCCGCAGCTTAGGATCTTGTTTCCTCTTTTTCCAGGGATGACCGTCCGGTGACTGTCGACAGGCGAAACAAGATCGATGTCCCCAGATCAAAACAAGTCTGGAGATTCTGCAGGATCTCACCTGTTGGTGTGTAGCTGCTGGATCCCACTCGAGACCGTGGGAGACCTCCCAATGATCAAAGTAGACCTCCCAATGACCGTGGAAGGGAAATCAACGACTCAGAGCGATTGGGGCGAGATTTCGGGGGTGCCCCCAATCTCACCGATCCCCAGCGTTGGGACCGAACTTCTCTTAGAGCCAAAAAACAGAACACGAGTCGAGCCAGGTCATCCGAAAAAAGGGAAAGCGAACATCTCTTAAGGTGCACAAAAGGATCGCCTGATCAGAATCATAGCCATCCTTGGATTGGAAGCTGACAAAAAGGCCAAAACAAGTGACCCCCAATGAGATCGAAAAGTACCTGCTTGGAAGAAGCTGCTCCCTTCTTTGGGACCTTTTGATGGTTTTTGAAAGCCGTACAATTCATAATTAGTTTGTTTGTCAACTTGCTGGGAGGCAGAATTCTGGGAAGTCCCTAGTAGTAAACTTGCACCTGGAAGTCAAAACCAAACCAAAGATGCTCCTGGAAAACTGGGATCTCCAGTAAAGATATAACACAGTCTGATTATCTAATTCAATTGTAAATGTTGGCCGAAAAAGATTGTGTTATTAAGGCTATCCCCACCCAACCAGTTGTCATGGTCTCGTGCCTGTTGTCAAGAACTTCGAGCAATGTGGTGGGTAGTTGTTCTGTAGTTTGCTGCCGTGCTTGTCTTCATGTTTGTGTGTTTGTGTTGTGGTTATGTTTGGTGCTGTCATTATGTGTGTGTTGGTTCTTGGTTGTTGTCTGCTGCTGTCCTGTTATTGATGCATATGTGTGGCATTGCCTCTTACACTTTGTCCTGATGTGTTGTCAAGTATTGTGTGTGCTCCGCGTTACCTGCATTCTGGTGTGTGTCATTGTTCGTGCTCATTTGTCCGGTTGGTCATTGTGCCTGTTCTCAAGTGGTTTGGTTCGCATTGTGATGTTTGTCAATGTGGTATCCCTGGGTCACGGTGTGCTGTGGAAGTGTCTGGTGTTGTCATTACTCCCCAGCAGATTAACATGGAACCCCAGAGCCACTGGGTTGTAGAGGAAAATGGTCTTCCACCGGTCAGTTCTCAGGTTCCATTCTAGTTTAGTTTGCGCGGTGGTAGCATTATCATTATCTGACTCAATGCTTGTTGTCTTGTGTCGTGTCGGCCACTGGCAGGACCACCTGGTTGGGCTGACAAAAACCACCGCAAATGTGCTTATGTTTGTCATCCTTGTGTCGTCTGTATCATTGCTTCTGGTCTCGTCGTGTTGTCAGTGTTGTCGTCTGTGGTCTTGTCTGGCAAAAAATGACCGGTGCCCTCCACCAGTCACAGACCTCGGGTGGGCAAAACATCTAGCTACCAAAAAATACCAGTGGGGGTGGGGGAAAAAACAGGAATATCAATTGTCACGAGAACCAGCGAACAAGCCCCCGGAAGCCATCCATGCATCCCGAGAATCTAACAGCTCTTGGAGAGAAATGGTTCCGCTGCCGTCATTGTCCATGCGATCGCACAGCACAGCAAGCTCGATCATGTCCTTCTGCCGTACCTCATCCTGAAGCCGACTCTTTCCTTGGTGTTCGCTTCAAGGAGAAAGGGAACTGCGAATCAGCTGCAAATTTCAATTTACACTGACTATATATAATACATTCAACACACATTCTCTAGGGGCCTATATAACTATATAAGTTTGTCTCAACAGGAGGTGGGCTCCAGTTCCCCTTAGTGAAAGTATACCACCAGCCCCTCAGCAATCATTAAAGTTAAAAGCTTTGCTCAACACTCCAAGGCAACGCTCTTGATCGTTCTCTCGTGCTTCTGCAGCTTTTTCCACCACAGTGGCGAGAATGAGATTCATCACACCCAAGGAGACGGTCATCATGATGAAGAAGAGAATGGGAGATGCCCACCAGTGTGCTTGGGCCAAAGGAATTGAGATTGAGCCCCAGGCATCTCCAGCCACGATCTGCGAAAACAAGGTGAGAGCAGCTACGTAGACACTCTTGAAGCCCTCACTGCAGTGTGGGCAGTCCACATACTGCATCTCTGAATTGAGAGGATGCAGCAACTCGACCACAATGATTGACCATACCAGAATCACAGAAATGAGCATGATTGACCCAAAGAAAATGGGCTTAAATGATGTAGTCAACCCACTGAGCAAGACATACAACTCTGGGACCGAGATCACCAATCGACCCACGCGCACCAGACGAAGCACACGCAGAATCCTCGCGCAGAACAGAGAAATGGCTGCGATCGAGAGGAATGTCTTCGGCTGAAGTCCTTTAGAAGACCTTCAGTTGCTGTTTGGTCTTTTTCAGAAGGTCTTTTGGATCCCTCCAAATAAAACTATCCGGAAGAATTAAAAAAAATCCGTCGTTATGATCTACTCCCGTGGATCACAAAAGGCTCTCTCCGTGGATGTTTGCTCCTCAAGATGTTCAGATTCACAGAGTTCAAGGCCACTGCGATCCAGCCCAGCACTGCTGTCCAGAGGTCAATTTGGTTCCACCAGTTCCAAAGGTAATCCCCCAGCTCGACATATGCTCGAAGAGCACACTCGACGGTGTAGATGATTTGCAAAAGAATGATGCAAACTTGAAGCCAGACCTTGTTTCTGCTATGATGCGAGCAACCTTCGATGTTCGAACTATAGTCTGGAAAGCATGCTGCATCAGAGTTGGTTTCGATGATCATCAGCACGATGTTCACGAAGATGACCTGGATGTTAAGTCCACAACTGTGCCGAGTGCGCAAACCCCAACGAAAAGTGATCAGTGTCGAACCCCCGAAAAAAGATTGATAGTCATTCCGCGGAAACGGCAAAATATAACGATCAGTGTTTCCTGGAGGACAATCTGAAAAAGGAACGTGCGGTTGATCCATTCCAGAGTTGTCGGGTGTCCCAGCAAGGGGAGTGGGAAGCAAAAATTCAATTTAAATCCATATACCAACACTGCATGCTTGTGGTGGAGGAGTCTATGTGCACTTGCTTTTGCACTTGATGAGTAAAACTAGTACAACTTACATAGCTTCGTACTTGTTCCAAAAAACTCATCACCGATGTATTTCTTATGCATTCACCGACAGACACCCTTCATCTTTGAATTGGTCGTTCTCTGCTTGACTCCTGTCGGAAGTCCTTCGGCGGATGAACCCTCATCCTCGGATGAACCCATGGTTCAAGGTCCGGTGAACCGTTCTGTCCGGGGAGTCTCGGTCGTGTCCCACACATCGGTCTTCGAAGCTCGACAGAGAAATCCAGCTGTGGATTTGGACGCCTTTGCACTGAACATCGCCAGTTCAGGCTCTGGTGATGAAACAAGTCTACTCTCCCTGGAACTAACATGGAAGTGGAGCTCACGTCTTCGGATTTCATGGTCTTCCTTTCGGGGCCATCCACGCAACCATGTGACTTCGGAGTCTAAGTGAACATCCCAAGGTGCGAAGCCCATACAGGTCTCGAAGCTTTGACTTTGCACCCATCGTGCGATGCAAATCCGCGATCGCCACCAGCGAGGTTGGCCCTCTTCGTCCAGCCATGGCTTCAGGACCTGGTCGAAACGGCGCTGGAACGCACCGCTGGGCCGCTGGGGGAGAAGTGGGTCACCCAACGGAGAGGAAATGGTGATCAGGGTGAGCTAGACTGGTTCTTTGACGAAGTTCCTGGTTCCTGGTTCCACCTGTTTCCTTTGCTCACCAGAAACAGGAAGAACGTCCCTCGTCTTGCACAAACCTGGGAGCACACAGCGACCAATGCAAGAAAACGGGAGATGTTGGCCGGCAACTGTAGTTCCCACCGTTTTTCGAAAGTCAGCTATACTTTGTGGAAGACTGCCAATATGATACACCCATAAGTCGAAAAGCCCTTTCGAACAGGAACCCTGCGGGGGCCGAACAGTTCCGCCTCAAAAACCTCACGAATCCCGAGGTCAGTCGCAGAAAAATTCTGACGTGTCGCCGCTTCACATCAGTCAGGCGGCTCGGTGAGGGGGGGTGGGATCCAAGAACCGTTTTCTGTTAAAGGATGCTGTGTTCGAGTGGAACACTCAGCGCCGGAGCAGATTCGTCCCCCAAACTGTCCAAATGACAGTTGCAACGGGTCTTCTCCATGGTGAAATCCCAACGAAATGATGTCCACGAAAGGATTTTGAGCTCGTTATTCTTGGCAAATTGGTATATTCAATCTGCAAAGCGAAGATCCACAAGTCATGTGCTTGTTGCTGATGTTAAACGTGGCGAACCACTACAATAATTGTTCATTCGAAACATTAAGTTCATAACGATGTTGGGTGTCCTTCTGCAAGTCCAAGTTGTTATTCTGTTCGCGTGCTTGATTTTTCTCTAAACTGGACTTCATTTTTTCTGATACAAATGCAATTCTGTCAGTATGTAGCTAGCTTCTGGACATTCTGAAGCATCCGTGATGGCAGTCAGCGCTATGATCTCTGTATCCAACTGGATCATCTTTTCAGCGACGACAAAAGACTCTCTAGCCCTTTCCAGGCAACTCAGTCTTTGATGCAATACAGTCATACATTCGTGTTGACGGCTATAGAAAGCTGCTGGATGGATTTGTTGACTCCAAAATATATCCCTGCCTGCGGTCGTCTTCGAGCAGATGGCCGAGCCCGAGTATTGAGTTCGTGTTATTCAATTGTAAACCCAAAACCGCCGAAGCTTTTCCACGTGGCCAGATCTGCCCACGGACCGCTGGGAATCGAGGAAGACCGCAAAACTCCCCAGTACAGTAAAAGGGGCAATGAATTGGACATCCGTTCGGTCTGGGGCCCGTTGATTTGAGGCCATTGAAGCACATCAAATTGCTTGTTCATATTTTTGACCAAGTGTTGCTCCAATCAACGCATCTAAGACAAATACTGGCTTTGGTCATCCAAAAAGAAACACAAGACAAACTTTTCGACAGCAGGCTGTGGAGTCATACTTCCCCTAGTAATTCATGCAGGTCACTCTCTGCTTGTAGCGCATGGATTCCTTCTCAATCTTCTCGATGGCGTTCTGCAAGTGATCCGTGACCTGGGTCTCCTCCCTCATCTCGCTGCCAATGCTGCTGCTTGGAACGCTGCCACTGGGACGAAAGCTGGAGACGTTGCGAAAGCTGGGCAAGTCCTTGAAACTGGGCAGGTCACGGAGCACGGCTATGGCCTCCACCTAATAGCCTGAATAGCGTCCTTACTACTAGTACCTTCTTGTTCCTTGTACTAATGCCAGGAGCGCCCCTAGTAGCGTCCTTGCTCCTAGTAGCAATGCCCTTTGCTACTAGTAGCGTCCTTGCTCCTAGTAGCGATGCCCT